GCACCCACCTTCAGGCTGTGAGCACCCACCTTCAGGCTGTGAGCACCACCTTCAGGTTGCGAGCACCCACCTTTAGGTTGTGAGCCCCCACCTTCAGGCTGTGAGCACCCACCTTCAGGGTCCTCTCAGGCCTACCGTTCCCCAGAATTCTATTCCAGTGCCTGGAAACAATGGTGAGACCAGCTCCCATCTAACACCCAGCTTCCTTCCTTCTACTGTGAGAGAGCTTGAGTCTCAGCAGGGTCACTAATAAATCCTTAGTTCTTAGTTCAGGGGAAACAGAAAGAAAGGTACTTATGCCCTAAGCTAAGCATCCCATCCGTACTTCTTAAACATAGCTATCGACATGGTTTTCTGAACACATCTGAGATTAAGGGACTAGAGACATAGCTCAGTGGTTAGAAGAATTTGCTGTTCTTATAGGGAACCTGGGTTAAGTTCTCAGCACCCACACCAGGGCTTACAACTGCCTGCGACTCCATGGATCCCCTGTGATCTTCTGACCTCCGTGGGTAGTAGGCATGTATGTGGTACACATACATATGTGCAGGCACTCATGCATACACACACAATATAAAAAACCTGCAATCAACATAGGACCAACTGGGTCTGTTTAAAATTATATTTTCTTTGCTTTGAATGCACACTAACAAGACTGACAGTGATTTATTGTTGAGTTCTGCATACAAACGAAATTAAATGACCAGCCCTAAAGAAGGAGGCTGGAATTAACATTTAGTAAGGGATACTAGTATATAAAGACTCAAGAACACCTCACTAGAATGCATTCTTACAGATGGGAAATAAGACTAAGGATGGGGGAGGGGTACCAACACTCTGGTAGAACAGGGACGAGCTACAACTGGAACCCAGTTGTGGCAGAGAAAACACCGAGCCATCCTTCGAGAGCTCTAGCATAAACTGGTATTTTGGCATGAAAGAAAAATAACTGTTCCATTTTAAGACACACTGTGACCATATATAAGTTGAACTGTCCCTGAGGGTCTTTTGGATCCTCACTGAGAAGGCGCACTGCCTTGTCTCTGGGAGGTGCAGTTCTAAAGTAAGCCTTCCTGCCTCCTGGTGCCTTTGCAGATCCAACTGTGACTTGCTTCTACCCAAAAAAAAACATGGCAGCAGTCACTCTCTGGTTAGGTTACAATTATAGAAGACCCCATCTGAGCTGAAGTGTAGGAAGGAGAAAAAGAAAAGGAGAGCAAAGGAAGGGAGGAGTATAGAGAGGGGGAGAAAAAGGGACTATGGGTAGAGGTGCTCACACCTGACATACACCTGACCTCACAAGTGTCCATGCACCTGACCTCACAGGTGTCCATGCACCTGACCTCACAGGTGTCCATGCACCTGACCTCACAGGTGTCCATGCACCTGACCTCACAGGTGTCCATGTACCTGACCAAACTCCCTTTCTGGTTTTGAAGTAGAAATCAATTTACTCCATCTAGTCTCTGATAACACACACAGTTCAGGCCGGAACCTTGGTCATATCCTAGTGAGGCCAGGCTCTAAGCCCTGGCCAGGCATCCACAGAAACCATGACTTAATAAGTGGGTATCAATGCAGGTACAATGTTAAAACCAAAGCATCTTCCCTGTAGATAGTATTTGTTGCAGGCATAAGTGAGGGCTGTGAGGAAGAAGGTCCAGGAGGAGTGTCAGTGCCTCCCTTGCTAATTGAAAAACTAACCTGAAAATCCCCCATCAGCCCACCAACCCCAAGAGCTGACACAGAGAGGCTAAACTCACATGACTCCCCTGAAATCTCTCACCCTGCTTCCCCTTCCTCACCCCACCCTGTCCTGCCCTCTCCAGTCCTCTGGCACTGGGACTGACAATATTCTTAGGACTGGGTCAGACAGTGGCTTGAAGACAGTCACACTTGCTTGGCAGCAGCTGGAGGCCCTCTCCATCTGTTCCAGATTTCTTTCCTTTCAGCAAGAGTTTTAAACTCACTCATCAGTGACAGGTGACAAGGGCTGGGCTGTATGTACCACCCACTGGCAAAGGTAACAGCCCACTGTGTGGGAAGCATGCTGTCCAGCCAGCCAGGCCTGAGAAGGCAGAGAAGGAGAGTGGGAGACACAGCCCCACTTGGCTTTGTGTGTGAGGAGGAGGCTCAGGGCAACAGGTTTGTTCCGCCAAGGCCATAGAGCCAGCAAACATAATAGGACCTCAGGTCCCAACATTCTTATTTAGCTTTGATTTGGGTCTTGTCTCAGTAACAAAAGGAAAGACTTTACATAGAGGGAGTGGTAGTGAATTCCTGCAATGTCACCATTGGAGAGGTGGAGACAGGAGTATATCCTGACTTCAAGGGTACCCTGAGCTAGTTCGAGGCAATTCTGAGATACTCTAGATCCTATCTCACAAAACAAACATGAAAAGCTGAAACCTTGGTAGACCTAATAAAACACCAGTTTCCTTGCCATATAGGAAACACATACACAACACATAGCCCCAACCTAGAACCCTAGTGATACTTTCCTGTCCCAGGAGGTGGTAGGCAAGCCCTGGGAAGAACCATTTCCTGGGGCAGATTATCAGCAGGGCCAGGATGGCAGCTGCCTTGGAAAAGATCCAAGGCTTGCCACTGATGTCTGCCTGAGGTCTGCTGGAGTATGGAATGCCAAGAAGTATCCAGGGCAGGGCATTCCAATACCAGAGTGTAGTTCTCTGTCTCTGGCAGGGCCATTCTCATCTGTTGTGTAAGGGAAGGAGAATGGGGGGTTGTAGGGATGAGGAAAGACAAGGCACACTTGCTCCTATTTGAGGGAGGAATGTTCAGAACCAAGGCTTCATGCCTGGCCTCTTAGAGCAGCCCCTGCCTGGCTACAGGATTGTGGGCTTTTAGATGGAGGTTCCCTTGGCTTAGTAAAGGCTGGGGTTTATATCGGTGGCACTAACACAGAGACCAGAGATAAGAGGGAAAAAGACAAGGGTAGCTCAGTCAGATCCCAGAGCTCAAGGTGGGTAGAGCAAAAGGGACGCCAGGTGGGGGGTGGTAGCACGGCCAGCCCCAGAGCTAAGGCAGTAGACTAAAACTGTATGCTACAGCGGGGGCTAAGAGGAATCTACAGAAGCAGCAGAGAGTAAACTGACCAACACCATGTGTCAAGCCTAGCAGTGCCAAAGGCAATGGGAGGCTGGTTTGGTTTTTAAGAGGGGGAATTATTGGGCAAAAACATCAGCTCTCTCATGTGAAGGAGTTGGCATATACAGTGCTGGGCAGCACCCAGTAATTCTGACCAGTCCTCTCCTGTCCTCTCCTAGGATTTGTGAAATTCCTAGCCCTGCTTATCAGCTAGTAGGTCTATTTTCCCCTTCCGGGCTCTTGGCTCTTTGGATTGCTTTTAGACAGCTAAAGTCTTCCCTAGTAAGAAGTGGCAGGTCCTGGAAAAGGTATGTGTGTCCCCAGCAGCTAGAATCTAACATGACAGCATTTTGTGAGAGCCTCTGCATTCCCACAATGCTCTCTCACTCACAAGAACCCTACTAGGAGCCAAGCGGCTCCTGCTAGAATGCCAAATGTCCCCATTTACAAATAGACACTACTGTGGCCCAGACATTGAGTCAGCCTGAGAAGACCACATATTAGACCCAAGAATGACACACTCAACCAGTAGGCTAGGTTCCTTATATGAAGTGGTAAGCCATTTAGAGAGTACAGTCTCTGGGAATTTAGTTAGCTCCCAAGTTACCAAGGGGGTGCATTCCAGAGCCTGTTGGAGATACAAATGCACGCAGAGCAGAAGAAAGAGAAGGGCTTCTGCATCCATGACAACAGGAGTGTGAACAGTAGCTTCCAGGCGGGGAACTGGATGATATCTTTCCTACTAGTGCATCATATGCCCTTGGACCCAGATTCTACATATAGGGGCATAGTCCACTTAAAGATATGGTAGACACTGTTTACAGGATATCCAATCAAACATTTCTTTTTTTTTTTTTTTTTTTTTGGTTTTTCGAGACAGGGTTTCTCTGTGTAGCTCTGGCTGTCCTGGAACTCACTCTGTAGACCAGGCTGGCCTCGAACTCAGAAATCCGCCTGCCTCTGCCTCCCAAGTGCTGGGATTAAAGGCGTGTGCCACCACCGCCCGGCCAATCAAACATTTCTAATAGCCAAGAGTTGGAAACAGTCTAGTTGTCTACCTTCAGAAGATTTGTACAGACGGTACAGCCTCCCAAATTAGTAGTATTTACATCTAAGAAAGAATGAAATGTTTAATACAGCCACAGGGAAAGAGCCCAGCGATACACATGTTCAAAGGAAGAAAAGGTAGGTGCAGAAGTGAAGTGTGTAAATCTAAATATGTTGGCTTGTATATCTATAAAATGTATCAACACGATACACAAGAAACTAACAATGGTGACTATCCTCAAACAGCCAAAATGAATGGGAAGGGACAAAGGTGAAAAGGAGACAGCCATGCTCATTCTTTGTGATGTCAGTGTTCTCAACTACTGAATCAATTGGCTATTTGAGTAATAAAAGTATAACTAAATGTGTATGGCTCAGACAGTGTATTAGAGAGCTGATTTTGCACGAGGTACTTAAATCTGGCAAAGTCCAGGTGTCAAACGATGAGTGTATATTACTGTGATTCAGTCAGGACTCCATCACCATCAGGGACGCTAGGGCATCTCCATCACCATCAGGGACTCTATCTAGGGCATCTAGGCACAGAGGGTGCTGGTCATTGACATTGGGTTATCCTCCTGCATCTTCTCCCATTTCCAGTGATCGAGAGTTCTCTGTTCAAGTTCCAGTGTGTCCTCTCTTTAGCATTTCTGTGTGTTCACTATTGTCCTGGATCTTTTAAAGACAGAAAGGAAGGTCTCTATGCACAGACCTTTC